GAAACCAAGGAGAGTGCGCTGAAGATAGTTTACCTACGTGGGCTTATGGAGAGAACCATGTTAAGAGGGCTTACTCCATCAAGAGAATAATGTATTTTCCAGGACACCTCTCTTAAGCGGGACTCTTTCTTATCATAGCTTCATTGACAAATATAGAACTTAGCATGCCTTATGAGAATGTGTGAAACGCTTTGGACCTTATTTTTGGAAAGTGCTTCCTTCTACCAGAGTGTGTGTTCTGGATATAGACCCCAAGATTACATTGGGATTTGTTGGCGGGTCAATTTCGTGTATCTATCGACATGCTTTATGGTAATGTCTTGTAAATAAGTCGCACGAAATTTGATAATGAACACCTAAAACACAAGTAGCCTTAACCCTGATTGTATCTTAGCCAAGCCATGCTTCTCCTATGGTCAGCAAGCTGAGGAAATCCTGGTTGGAGGGATTGCACGCAATTTTCCATTTCTGTAATCGCGGAGGCTTAACTAGTCAACATGGTGGAAATAGATAGGTAAATTCATGCATTCATCTAGAATCTCAAATTTTAATATAACTCGACAATGATCTCACAAATGTCTTTCGATTTCTTCTGTGTTACTCTTAAACTTTCTGCCCAAATGCGCATTGAAAGAGATTTTTTTCTGCATTATGAGGACACACAACTAAGTGATTCAAACGAACAAAGCGCTCGTTTTTTAACCACCATTGTCGCATGATATGCACAATCTTTGGTGATCTTTGCATGTCTTGGCACGTTGGGACTTTATAGCTTATTAGCAACGCCCGACCATACCTAACATCCTCGTGCATATGACCATGACATTTCTAACAGCATCACAAATGTTTTTGCAAAGCAATCGATATAGATTGTGAACGCGAAAATTGCCAAAACAGTCATAAACTTATTGCAATTGTGCTAATTCAGTTCTAAACCTTTTTTTATGCCAATTCAATCTTAAACTTTTTGCATTTGTGCCAATTCAGTTCATTTGGCCAATTTTGGCCTGCCAGCGCTGACGTGGACGCTGGCCGGCCTGCGAATGCTGACGTGGCAATTTTTAAAATATTTTTTTATTAATTTTTTTTCTTTTTTTTTTTCCTTCATCTTCTTCAACCTCTAGCCGGTCGCAAGATCGGCGACCGGCCAGAGGCTGGGGCCGGTAGGGTCGGTCCTGCTGGCCGCTAGCGAGGCCGACCTCGCCGTTGCTAGGCGAGGTCTCGTCCTCACTGGTCGCTTCGAGCGAGGCCGACCTCGCCCGCAACTCGCCAGATCCGATGAGGCTCGTCCTCACTCGCAACTGGCGAGGTTGGCCTCACTCGAAGCGATCGGCGAGGACGAGACCTCGCTAGATGGCGAGGTCTCGTCCTCGCCACTACGCAAGGCCGACTTTGCCAGCGGTTGACGAGGTTGACCTCGTCAGCCCCAACCTTTGGCCGGTCGCTGGTCCGGCGACCGGCTAGAGGTTGAAGAAGATGAAGGAAGAAAAAAAGAAAAAACTTAATAAAAAAATTTGAAAAAATAAAAAAATTATTTTAAAAATTGCCACGTCAGCGTTCGCCAGCCGGCCGGCATCCATGTCAGCACCGATTGGCCAAAATTGGCCGGATGGACTAAATTGACACAAATGCAAAAAGTTTAGGATTGAATTGGCACAATTGCAATAGGTTTAGGACTGTTTTGGTAATTTTCCCAATTGTGAACTCACATGTGATTCTTTCAAACAAAGTTGCTTTGTGTTTTTTTTGTTTATTTTCCCTTTTTACCATGGTATTATTGACACGAATTGAAGTAGTCCGTACTTTCATATGCTTAATAAGCTTCTAAGTTTTGCCGTGGCCTGAAACTCCATTAAACCTAGAACTTGTTTAGCCGCTAAAGGAACGGAGCATCCTTTTCAGGACGAAACAACTCAAAAGAGATAAAAATGTCAGTGATTCGTTTGAAGTTGCTTTTGCACCCTCGACTTTTATATATTAATTTAGGGCAAATATGATGCGATTATCACGTGCCATGCTGGAGCAACATTGCGGTTCGTTAGGTTAGGAGATGGTGAGCTGGGTCTCGAATTTTGGGAATAGGCTCTCAAAAGGTGCAACATCTCTTTCAAACCACCCAGGCAGTGATGAGAAATTGCTCAAATTAGAATGAGGATGACAACACCAAGGTGGTGGGGCTGTTCTTGTGAGCCAAAAAAGTCTCCTCTCATTGCCAAATCATAATAATGGCTTTAGCTGTTCTTAACGCTTTTGAGGAAAAAGAGGGGATTGCTTATGCTGCTGGACCATACCCTCATGCTATGCGCTTTTGGATTTGGACAAGGTTTAGGTATCGTCTGTCTGGGCTCCAGCATTAATACTGTAGCCGACCTCTGATTGGTGGTTCACATCACACATGAATAACAATTATCATCCACACGAACCCTAATCTCTCTCTCTTTCTCTCAACCTTCGTCGCTGCCTCCGAATCAGCGTCGCTGCTACCGTGGACAGACTCCCACACCCGCGCACCGAGTCTCGGGAAACAACGATGGATGACAAGAGGGCTCGCCAACCCATCAATTCTTTCGGTCGCTAGATGCTTGGTAACATTGGAAATTTTGTACAATATATATATGTTATACTCCATTAATCTTAATATCAAATTATTCATGTTTCACTCTCTTAGAGTTAGGAATTGAAATTTTTTTCTTGTCTCGCCCCCTAAGCTTGTATCTATTATGTTCACCACTGTCAGCAAAATTTGGATATTGTTGTTGACAAGCATGTCAATAGCAACGAGACAAACTCGTGCTCAAACCAAAAAGGATATATATTCTTGTCTGTCCATGATCTATCAATACTCCCAAGTGCATAATTCTAGGAAAAGATTCTAATACATGGAGAATTCCTTCTCATATGTTCATCTTATCCTCCATATAAGTTCAATAGACCGTTCAAACACATTTATCGCGTCACTAGGGCAAGGCGTGCCCACTAGTCACGTGCGGCTGAGCTTCATGCAATAATTCCAGCATAAATCCACATAGCAATCGTATTCCAATTAATCGATGGTGGTCTCGATTCGATCATGTCGTTCATTTATGAGTATTTGACTGGTGGGTGCTTTGATCCTGCCCGACTCTTATCATTGCAAAATACAGTGTGCGGCCAATAATTTTCGAATTTGCGACGTCGAATATTTGCTTACACAATTTTTTTTTTTGGGTATAACTGGTCTAGATTGATCGTGTATCTATCGCAAGTAGGGAAGTTTCTCTTGTAAAAATGTAGTTTTGTTTTGCTGAAAAATGTGTTGGGAGGGAGTGACTTAGCCTTCTGTACAAATTAGAAAGTGAGGAACTTCAAGGATCGAGTTGTGATCACACATGGTCAAAGGCTCATTTTGATGTGCCATGAGAATGCCAAGAACATAATCTTCATGGGAGATTTCCCTGAGTCCTTTCGAAATATATCTTTTGTTCCACAATTTCATTTTTATGTGTGGTGTAATGAATAGCTGTGATGGGTTTTTGGAGTCGAGATGATCAATGGGTCAGCTTGAATCGAGCCTAACTTGTTGCCTAGAGTCCGCCCCTCAATAGCAAAATATTCTTTTTTCTAGGTTGGACGAGTCTGGATTGAACACAATATATCTGAATCAAGGCAGGCCGAGCCTCATAACTAAATGCCTTGTCCATGCTCTCCTAAATTTATCTTTCGGCCCTAGTGGGGCAAACAGGTCTAGCCGACGCTCTAGGCCGCCGGGCTCATGATCAGGTTTGTCATTAGAGTGCCAAAACAATGCTCCGAATGACCCAATGTATCGTAGAAACTCTCACTTCTCGAACCGATACAGAGCGATGCTATGTATTGGCTACTAATAGGCCAACTCAAGGTACCATTTCGAAATCGTTCTCACCTGGTCAATTCAACTCCAATTAAGAGAACGTATTCAATCCACGAGAACCCCTTCTCTGTTCTCGAGGATCAAGCATGATCATGTAATGATGTGGCTCAAGAGCGACATGAGAATACGAGATAAGCTTCAAGTCATATCCCTTCATTGCCGAGTCAGATAGTTGTTTCGAGATTTTGAGTTAAAGCAGACTAATGGGGATGGCTTTTTTCGGCTTCCTTCGTCTTTGAAGATCAGGCTGATGACCATGCAAAATTGTGGCTCAACAGCAACACGAGATAAGCTTTCTCTTTATTTATTTTTTTGGGGGGAGCTAATACTCGAGATAAGCCTCAAGTGTTATTCCTTCGATGACGAGTCATGACTCTGAGTTAAAAGCAGAATTAGCGACTGCGACATTAACAATAAGATTCATTAGTTTTTTTTCCCTTATACTTATGAGCTCGTCTCACTGAAAAGAGCATTTCGCAAGGCCAGATAGTGAAGGCAGGAATTGCCAACGAACTTTTAATTGCTTCTTGAAATCCAACTTTTGGCCATTTCTGCCTTCAATTTGTGCAAAGTACATCAAACGCTTTCTAGCAAAAATAGAGTACGTCAAACGCTGTAATGAAGCTAAAGCATAATAATTCTCAGTATGGCTGAACTTGTAGTAGATCTCACCGCAAATCAAGAAATATATCAGTACATTAAATTTATATGGTCGAAAAGCTTAGCGCAGTTTGATTTTTCATATCAATAACTATGACCATACTTCTGCTTCTCTCATTCTTTTTCTCATAATATTTTCGAGTTTCTCAAAAAATGTTTGACGGTCGTGATCGTGACATCGGGCCATTGGCCAAACACACCCTCCCTCTTCAGACACACATGAGTTGAGTTCCCGCGCAACACGGGTCGGGTCGGGTCGATGCCCCCCCGGGCCCCCGTGACTTGACCCGCCTAGAGTGAATCACCAACCAAAAAAGAGCGAGAAAAAAAACGAGTGTCGGTTCCAAATCCCAAAAGAAAAGAAAAAGAAAAAGAACTCTGTCGTTTTTCGCGGCTACGTACCAAACGAAAAAGGCGCTTTTCCGCATTCTCTTTCACCACCCGATGTCTCACTTTTCGGCTAAGCTCTTGTCGCACCCCCCTACCAATCGCCATTATACAAAGACTTGACTTTTTTACGTGCTTCTCCGCACACTTAAGCGAACTGGGTCGACGCCAAAACTCGCCATTTCTGCTCAGAAAGGCTCAAAAGCTCGGCCCTTCTTTGTTGGGTAAAGCTCATTGTCGTTCCTCAGAGGTACGTCTCATTGCTCTCTCGGTTTCCCCCAACGCATTCTGAGCGCTGCCAACCAGAGGGGGTTGGCGACAGGGAGATCCAATGTCATTTAATTGTCTGCAGGGGCGTTTCTTGAGAGACTGAGTTTCCGGCTTTTCTTGCGACTTTTCTTGGTTTCTATGTATTGGAAGCGAAAAGCTCTCTTTTAGTAACGTGTTGCGATTCATTTATAGCGGTTTCTTGAAGATGTCCGTGAGTGCGGTCAATGAGAGTTAGTGGCTAGTAATAACGGTACTAGTGGTGCTCACAATGTAATTAACTTTTGGTCACCTGTTGCGGGTTCTTCTCGACGCTGTGCAGAATGGCTGCAGCGAGATCGAGGCTGTGGTTGTGTTTTCTGCTATTTTTCGTGGCATTGCTCGAAGCACGAGGAGTCCCCGTGGGAATTACCTACGTCCGAAACGCGGTAGCCAGAGGAGCTGGTGAGGGACTTCATCTCGCTGGCTAAAGATTTGATTGTTTGTGGCGAAAATGAATGCTCTTACTGCATATTTGAGGCCTCCACACTTCTTTTTATGCGCTTGTATCGGGATTCTTGTGATGTAGTTTGCTTGGACGGGAGTCCTCCAGCTTATCATTTCGATAAGGGGTTCGGTACCGGCATCAACAATTGGTTGGTCCACATCGAGGTTTGTCCCCATGTCCTTGAAATCGAAGATGCTCGATAGATATGAAGTGATGATGAAAAAGTTCCAAGTTTGTACTGTCCCCTGTTTTTCATGTTCGCATACAATCTTCTAGATCAGGTTTTTCTCAATGGGCATGTGAAAATGAAGCTACCGGAGTTTTTAAAGATCAGAAATTGTGATCCGGTCTTTCTATCCTTTTAGTTCAATAGGTTAAAATTTAGTGATGAGGCCAAACTGACGTCTAGAATTCTTTCCTTTAGTGACTAGTTCTTCCTCTTCCAAAAATGCAGTCTGTTTCTTTCGCTGTGGTAGTCCGTCTTGCTCACCCTTTTTTGTTCCTTGAAGGGTGGCGGATGGTGTAACAATGTCACAACCTGTCTCGCCCGCAAGAATACCCGGCTAGGTTCATCCAAGCAGATGGCCAAGGAGATAGCTTTCTCTGGGATACTCAGCAACAAACGAAGATTCAATCCTGGTACCACATCGTAGTTCCTTCTTCGAAAGTTTGAGACTTAGGGGGTGTTTGGTTCAGCTTTGGGAATAGGCTTTGAGCCTCGAAAGCCCCTTCCCAAAATGCTGGGGTGTTTGGTTCATCATTTGGCCTAGCATTTGGCCAATGCCAGCATTCCAAATGCTGAAAGCCCAAAGCTGGTCCAGCCTTTGCCAAATGCTACTGTTCATGCGTCACTGTTCATCTTCTTCGGCGAAGGAGGGCGACCGACGCCTGGATCGCGCCGTGAGGTCGCACGACCCGAGCGACGGCAGCCGGGAGGTCGCGCGACCGCCCGTGCACCGCCGGCTGGGTCGCGCTGCACAGGTCAGCGCGACCTCGGGCTGCCGCCTAAGGTCGCGCGACCTTAGGCGGCCGTCGCACCTGGTCGCGCGACCCCGCCGAGGGTCGCCCGGCCTCGGGCGACCGTCGGCGGCGGCAGATCTGGCTCGCCAGGGGTCAACCGACCTCGGGCGACGGCCGTCGGCGCCAGATCTATCTCGCCGGCGGCCGTAGGCCATCGCTAGTGGCCGGCTCCGGCGATGGGTAGGTTAGTTTTTTTTTTAATAAATAAGATAATTCTCAAAGTCCATTTGCAAAAAAAATTCACCAAACACTATATTTTGGCCAAAGTAGCTTTACAAAATATTTTTACCAAACACCATTTGCATTTCCCCAATGGGCTTTCACCCAAAGGTATATGCATTCCCCCAAGTATAACTGAAATCTGTTTCGATCCAGACTTCTACAATTGGAACAGAATCAAAGTCCGATACTGCGACGGGGCATCATTTACTGGAGATATCAAAGCTGTAAACCCAGTGAGTTCCTATATATATGCATCTCTCGAGTAAATAATAGGAAGCAGAAACAAACTCATTTCTCTCATTCTTCAACTTTTATCAGAAGTGTCCTTTGAGATATATTTCAATTTGTTCCAACATTTGGTTAGGCAACAAACCTGCACTTCAGAGGAGCCAGGGTTTGGCAAGCCGTGATGGAAGATCTGCTATCTAAAGGAATGAAAAGCGCGGAAAATGTATGACCGCAATGATCTTGCAACTCCTCCTGATTTTTCTCGTCTTTTCTCATCTTCATCAATTGTGAGGGTACTGGAAACTCTTTGACAGGCTATTCTTTCTGGCTGTTCAGCTGGTGGATTGACTACCATACTACACTGCGACAGCTTCCGAGCTCTCCTACCGATGGGAGCTAAAGTGAAGTGCCTCTCGGACGCTGGTTATTTCATAAACGCGTAAGCTCATGCATATGAGTCCGATTAACTGGGCCTAACCAGATCATTTTTCAGGGTGGTTTATTACTGTCGCAAAACATCTAAAAGAGGCTTCGATTTTGTCAGGAAGGATGTTTCGGGGGCGCTTCATATTGAATCCTTCTACAATCAAGTTGTTGCAACACATGTACTCTCTCCGCCATGACCCTGTTTTCTTGTTAATTTCTGGTTAGTGCTTCGGTTTCTCACATACGACAGGTTTGAGCAGGGATCGGCCAAGCATATGCCACGATCCTGCACTTCAATATATAGACCGGGATTGGTATGCATCTGTTCTCCTAATTTTTAACCTCACTGAATGATGTTGCCAGTAACATCATCCGAACAAACATTGCAGTGCTTTTTCCCTCAGTACATGGCTCGACAAATGCAGACACCGCTATTCATTCTCAATGCGGCCTATGATTCTTGGCAGGTCAGTAAGTATTGATTTTGAAGGGAATTTATGGTTTTACTAAGAAACATCTGCATGTGAAGCTTTCTTCTTCTTCTTCTTCAAATGAAGTGGTGTTTTTTTGTCATTATAAAGAAACGACAAGTTGGTGCAGAGAATAGATCCTTGTAGATATCATACTGAGCCCATCACCAGAGAGAAAAATAAGGAATTGCAAGTGGTAGTTTTTTTTTTGTAACACCTGGAAATCATTGCATATATATTTGGCTTAATCCAGATTAAGAATATTTTGGCACCCGGAGTGGCTGACCCGCACGGGACCTGGCACGGCTGCAAGCTCGATATCAACAACTGCTCTCCTAATCAACTCAAAGTCATGCAAGGTAACTTGTGAGCTGCTCTGTCTAATCGACTCAAAAGTCATGCAACGGTACTTGTAAGCTTGTTAGTAACAACTGCTCTGCATCAAACTCAAAGTCGATGCCGGATTTTCGCAGATTTTAGGTTGGAGTTCATGTATGCATTGGCCAGATTGGGGAGCTCCTCATCAAGAGGGGTGTTTGTAGATTCATGCTATGCGCACTGCCAATCCGAGACGCAGGAGACATGGTTGTGGGGCGACTCTCCCGAACTGGCGAAGACGGTAAGAAACCCCACCAGGCACCCACTTTAGCCATGGAACACTTCTAGATTCCGGCCAAAGCCCTGAAACACTCTAATTGAGAAAAACGGAGCCTTTAGGACAATCCCGCATGCTGGACATAAGACATTTACTTAATATGTTACTTGTGGATCATCTAACTATGAATACTAGCCAAAAACCAAAAAAAAAAAAAATCTAACTATGGGCAGCGCACATTAGTTCACCATCGTTGCATAGAAAAAGACAGTGCCGAACATTTGTAATGACCGCAAAGCTCGAGTTCCACGAATGGAAGGCCTTCCCATCTAATCCTTTCTTAACTAGCTTTTTGCTTAAAACTATTTTTCTAGCTTGATCATTATATATAACTATACATCTGAATATATGAGGATCTAATCATCAGCATGAATCACGTTTTGTTCTTTTTATGTCTTGTGCAGTCTATAGCAAAGGCAGTTGGAGACTGGTTCTTTGACAGGAAACCCTTCCAGAAGATAGATTGCCCATATCCTTGCAATCCCACCTGCCACAACCGGGTCTTTGATCCCCAAGAACACCCAAATTTATAGTCTCATCAGCTAATTAATATGCATTGATTATTCTTTTAGAGAGTCAAAGTCATTGATATTAGTTATAATAAGAAGAGAGAGAGAATCTGTTAAGTCAAAAAATAAACAAGGGTCGCCCGTGGCACCAAAAATTGGTGCTGGGCCTCTTCCATGTCATTATTTTGTATGTAAGCAATCGTTCATGCAACTATATGTATTCGGGCTACATTGAATGAAAATTGAAAAAGGATGAAAAAACATACGTTACATTCTTAATATCTTATATTGTTGCTTCTGCATTTATGTCGACTATATATATGTGTGAGTAGAAGAGTATCCGGGTGAAATGCAACCTTTCTGCACAGAGTTTAATTTTTAATAAAGTCATAGCATTACTTATAAAGATGAAAGTGTGTGTGTTTTCAAGCAGTTGAAATGGAAGAAGGTGCAGGAAAGTATGATGTTAATACATGAGAATCTACCATTTCCATATTTTAAAAAACACATGGAATGTTGACAATTAGTGCTATGGGGACACCTTTTAACATTCTCTTTTTGTTAGAACAAGTGGAAATACTAGCGCGCTTCACATGATATTATCATTTTACACCTTATTTATTACATCTCTAGAGGTACATCAAGTAAAGCTCCAATCACAAGATGGCTCACGAGGATCTCAACGTTACTCTAGTGATGTACGTTATAATTTGAGTAAGGGATAAGTGTACTGAAAGTCCTAAAACTTATCACGAAAGTGTAATTGAATTTTAAAACTTACAAAAAGTACAATCAAATTTTTCCGTTAACTCCGTCTAGCTAGGCTAATTGAAAATGCCGACATGTCTTATTTTATTACCTAGTAAACATAAAATTCTCTCGATGGCAGCGGATAGAACCATGAAAAATGTAATTAACGATTGGGCTGCTCCGGTTTCTGTATAAGAAGGATAGCAACTTTCTTCAGCTGTAGATTGCACAGGGACTTGGGTGAGTAAAGCCGTTAAAGTAAAATTCTGATTAAGGATATAATGGTGCACCTCCCCTCTTCCATAGAACGAGTAGATACTCAATAATATATATTGTCCCAGAGTTTATCTTTCTTATCATCATCTGTTTTCCTTTTTGGTTGTTTTCCTTTTGTAAACCTAACTATGGATCGCCCCATCTATCTTCCTGAGGAGAGGTTTGGTTTCAAGCCCGGTTCGAACAGAAAAAGTACGTCATGCTATTGACGGATATACTTGCCACACAAGAAACATTTGTCCTCAGGAATGTGGTGTCGTATTCGTGTTTCTCTTTACGTGTCATATTTGCGTTTCCGTGTCATATTCGCGTTTCTCTTTACGTGTTAGCTAATTTGCAACTTGATAAAATAATAAGCTGATCGCAGCAATATCAGATTAAACTACTCCTACGAGACTTGAAAAAAGTTCCCACGTTTCTTCTCCTTATCCGAGTCTGCCCCGTCTTTCAAGTTTCTTTGCCTGGCACATGATTTTTGCGCGTTTGGTCAGTCTTACACCATAGGCTATGTTGATTTTCCTTATCCGAATTTTCTGCACTTTGATGAGCGTCTCCATCCACTGTTTACCATATGAGCTGCTGAAAAAAGGATAAGTACAAATCATAAACAACAACACAATAGAAAGAAAAAAAAAAAAAAGCCAGACATGAGATTATGGTGCCTTTAGACCTTTACAACATTAAGGACAACATACTTATGCATACAGCCAGGCGAAATTATTATTAGAGAGACAGTAAAACAAAGCGCATCGATATCTTACTGGCCAAAGAAAAAGTGCACCAATATCTTTCAAATATCTTCATTAAATTAACTTCCAAAAACTTATAAACTCATTATTGCCTACTGGGTCCTTTCTCACGGTCCCCCAGATATTTCATCACAGCACGCCGGATTATAATGGAGAGACATCTGCTTTGAATTCTCCAACTGCTATTGGTGTTAGGAACAGAAACGTAAAAGAGAAAAAAAGTCAGATAAGAAGATTCACGAATTTTTACGGCAATATCTCTTCAAAATCAGATGGGCACAGTACTCCGGTGCCGCACTAAACAAATCATTTCACTATTAGGCTGCGCATGGCAACTATTCTGTGCCCGAGAACAGATTCTGATCAGAAATGATTCTTTTTTATTCTGTGCCCGGAAACAATTTCTAAACATTTGAAGGCGTTTGGTAACTGCCCAAAATTTCTATTATTAGAATAGAAAAAGAACATAAATGCATTTGGTAACTGCATAAAATTTCATTTTATTAATAATATTTTGAATTTTTTTAATATTTCTTTCTTTTTTTTCTTTTTTTCTCTTTCTTTCCCTTCTCTTCCTTGGCCAAGACCGGTCGCCGGCGCCAGCGATCGGCCACAGGCCAGGGCCGGCGAGGGCGTCGCGGCCCTCGCCGGTCGCAACGGCGAGGTTAGCCTCGTCGTTGCCACCCAGGTCCGTCGCTTTGGTGGCGACGGCGAGGTCGGCCTCACCTTGGTTGGGCGAGGCCTCGCAGTCATGGCCTCACCGTCACGGCCGCGAGCCGCCCTGGCCTGCGACTGGCGGCCGTTGGCCGGCGGGTGGTGGGCCGAAGAACAACAACGAACCAAAAAAAAGAAGAAAATGAAGAAAAATCAGAAATGGAAAATTTGTTCCAAAATCAAGAAGCTACTTTTTTTTGCTTCTTGATTCTGTTCCAAAACTGATTCTCGGAACAATTTTTTGCAAAATTGTGCCGGGGCACAAAAATTTAACAAATGAATTTTTGCCCTTAAACTGATTTTGGGAACAAAAGAACAGAAATTTTTACTATTTGACAAGTTACCAAATAGGCCCTTAATATCGAGTTACGAATACAAGAGAGATTGCCCCAGTAAATACTATGAGTCTAGAGCATACAAAGTTGCAGTGAAATTAATTATGTATATATTTATATATAACTTTTTTAAAAAATTCACCTCACATAAATTGTATCTGCGAGTTTTTGGCTTCAACTATGTCAGTACTTTTCTCCATCGTACTCCATAGCAACATCAGTTGGTGCCCTGCCGCTTTTGATCAAATTTCGAAGGTCGTTGACAGCATGATTACATCATATTGCTTTATCCTGATCAGAGGCGCCGCCTTTTTCGAATCAAGACTAAGTTGATCAAAGCTTGTATCAGGTAAGTCTGCAATATTTAGCATTCCTTGTGCACCAGTGTGATGCATTTCAGTTTAGTCTATCGCTGATCTCTGTCACTTGATCGGGATTAGATTGATCTGGAACAAATGCAAGCTCTTGATCTTGCAGACTGAACAGTTTACCTTGGCCTTTAGAGCTCTTACCTAATAATACTTACCTAGAATTCTTCCATGTGCAGTCCACAGTCTCAAAAAGGAAATTCCAACCTACAATTCGTGAGTGTATGTTCAAGGGACCTTTGCCTGCACAAGCAAAATTAGATACTACGATGGGGACTTATTCATTACTCCATACAGTCTATGAACCTTCAACAAAGGAATCAAATAATGTCTACCGGAGTACCAGTCCGGCCAATAACTTTAAGTTGATATGCGTTGACACGCTTAAAAGATTGAATATAAGGAATGGAGGATCTATAAATACCCATTCCTTATCCAGGAAAACTCAATCGACACCTATAGAAATTTACATCATCTCCTCAGTCTCAAAACATCAGCTTGATCCTTAAAAAGCTTTTTGTGTCTCTCTCTTGCGCCTCGCCTCTGCCCTTCTCTTGATTAGACAGCCTCACTTAGTGTAATGGAAGAAATGGGCGTACCCGTTCAACCTCCGACTTATGGAAACCTAATTACAATTCTCAGCATTGATGGTGGAGGGATAAGAGGGATTGTTCCCGCTACTATACTAAGTTTCCTAGAGTCTGAACTTCAAGTATTGAACCAATGCTATTACTGCGTGCATAGTTGGTATCTGTTTTGCATGTTATTCTAATTTAACGATATGCCTGGATCCATTTTGTAGAAGCTGGATGGTAAAGATGCAAGACTTGCGGATTATTTCGATGTGATAGCAGGAACAAGCACAGGGGGTCTTCTGACTGCCATGTTGACCAGCCCAAATGAAAACAATCGACCCATGTTCGCTGCCAAAGACATCAAGGACTTCTACCTTGAAAATGGCCCTAAAATCTTCCCTCAGGACAGGTCTGAACACAGTTTCTTTTCTTGTCCTTATCATCATGTCAGAAGCTTCCTAGACAGGTTTAATATTTCTTCATGGACTCCAGATTCTAACTTGTCCTTTCAATGCTTAATCGACTGCGTTGCAGTTGTCCATTTGCTCCTGTTACAAAGATGATGAAGACTCTCACAAGACCAAGGTATGATGGCAAATACCTTCATAGCCTTGTAAAGGAAAAACTAGGGGACACAAGGTTGCACCAGACACTAACCCATGTTGTGATCCCAGCTTTTGACATCAAGCGTCTCCAGCCAACAATCTTTTCTACCTACCAGGTGTGCATCCTGGCACTGCATTATAGCGCACACCCTCACCTATTATATATACTCAATCACCTTTTTTTATATTGATTTTTTTGTTATCATCTAACAAATGACGCGTCTGTATCAATTGTTTTGGACAGGTGAAGAACAAACCATCCATAGATGCGTTGCTCTCTGATATATGCATCGCGACTTCGGCCGCACCAACTTATCTCCCTGCCCACTATTTCAAAACCGTCGATCACTTGGGAGCAATGAGAGAGTTCAATCTTATAGATGGTGGGGTGGCTGCGAATAATCCGGTCAGTACAAAAAAGAAAAAAATGTGACTCCACTATGACGATAAATAAATTGTGCAGGCAGCAACTTGCATGTTAATATATGCGACGACAATGAAAATTATACTGTTATTGCTATGAATGATATGCAGACTTTAGTTGCTATAAGTGAAGTGGTGGAAGGCATAAGCAGGGGGAGCCCAGACTTCTTTCCTATAAAGCCGATGGACTACGGGCGTTTTCTGGTGATATCTTTGGGAACTGGTTCGCCAAAATCCGAAGAGAGGTTCACTGCACATGAAGCAGCAAACTGGGGAATCATTGGTTGGTTAACGAGCGGAGGGTCCACGCCTCTAGTTAACGTCTTCACCCAAGCGAGTGCAGATATGGTTGATCTCCATCTCTCTGTTGTTTTCCAAGCTCTTCATTCCGAAAATAGCTATCTCCGCATCCAGGTAAGTGAATACTAGTATATAAATTGGGCATATGTATGCAGCAACATGCACATGTGTATATTTACCCGCTTATTGTTCTTTTGCCTATATATGATGTTGATACATATTTTTGATCATTTTTGTAGGATGATACGTTGAGTGGACCAGTATCTTCGGTGGACATAGCCACAAAGAAGAACATGAATGATCTGGTCAAAGTAGGGGAACGACTACTGAAGAAGCCGGTGTCTAGGGTTAATCTGGAGACCGGAATCTTTGAGCCGCTGAATCAGGAGACTAACGAAGAAGCTCTCAAAAGGTTTGCAAAGCTACTTTCCGAAGAGAAGGGACTTCGCCTTGCTCGGTCTCACCACGGACGTACTCACCTTGCAAATTCTCCCACTTCATCAACTGCATGATCTTGATGTCTCTAGCTTTCTAAGCTCTAATAGCACCAACCTAATACAACCACCATTATTCTTTTTTCTTCTTTCGTATGTCAATACAAATCCCAGCGGGATGGTGTGGCAGTTAAATATTTTGTATAATAAGGAGGAAAAAGATGCCCTTTAGATTCTTTGATAGCCATAGATAGATGTTTTTATGAAGTTGTTTTGCATGGTTTAATAAAAAAGTCGTCCCTGCATGACGGGTGACGGCCAGTCAAGTCAGCATGCAATACTGTAATGGAACGAAGACATTGAAGTTATCTTGTTTCTTTCTGGTCTCCCCTTGATCTGCTAAATGAATATTTGATGCTAGGTCTACTTCTTTTGAGCCAACAATACTCATTTCTTTTATTCCTTACTGAAGAGTTCTTTTCATCACCTATGTGCAGAAAAATGATTGATCCACGCGACATTGAAAGTGCTAATATATTGATAATCAATTATATATATGGTGACTAATGTAAATTATAAACCATGGAGAAACGGGAAAGCCTAAAATATTAAAGATCATGCGACATTTTTTTCGTGTCAAACATACCATTTACCCCTGAGAAAAGAAAAATTACGGACGAAACTCCTCTTTCATCTAATTAGTATTTAAATATCATACTCTCATGGATAACCATTTATATAATAATATTATTATTATTATTATCAAACACTCAGTTATACCATGTAGAGGTGATTGGTTCCTAGTCCGGTTCCCAATTTTGAGAACTGGGGACCAGACCGGCTGGTCTTAGGATCGGGAACCGGACCAGATTCGGTCCAATGGAACCGCTCACCTTTTTATTTTTTTCCCACCACAACGAGAGAAAATAACAAATCTCAACATCATGACGGAAGCAACGATAAGTGGAAAGTCATTGTGGTGCGACGATAAGGGAAAAGCATTGTACGTGGGTTTAGTTCACATTATACTAATTTTTTGAAGAAATAAAAAAAAAAGTATATGTAGTCAGTTCGATTCTCTCTTGGAACTTGAAACCGGACCGCCTGGACACCGATCCCACTTTTAGGAATCGGAAATCGGACCGACACTCCCGGGAACCTGATCAAACCGGCCGATCCATTTTGCACATCCCTAATACCATGAAGTTAAGTTAAAACACACACGATGTTGCAATACTTATATTTATGTATTTTTGTTAGCGTAGAATATAAATCATAAAATCTAAAATGTTTAACGACTTATATAATATTACAAAATTATACTATCAAACTAAACCATAATAAATTTATTTCCAAACCCGTGGAATGCACAGGATATCAATCAGTACTAAATAATATTAGAAATATAGGTGTGTGTCTCAACAAATGGGCCTTATTTAGTTCCCAACAAAAACATGTCAAGCGACTTTATAAACTTATTTTACAAACTGATTTTTGTATACATAATATTATCCATGAAAATTTATATTTTTGTGCATCTAATCCCTTATCAATCAGTTCAACTTGCAAAATTTCTTTTATTTTGGAGGGCGATTGCTCTGGGAAAAAGAAAATTTGGATAGAGACTATGAATGATGTGATGGATGACGTCAATTATAGCCCATGAAGTGTCTAGTGAACCAATTAAATTTACATCATAAATTTTCATTTCCATCATTTGCAAAATACATAGTAAAAAAGGTCACACTTTTTCCACTCCTCATATGACTTAGACACTCCCTTTTTTGTTGTTTTGACCATCCTATCCCTCGTGGGGTCCACCGCTTCTTATACAATTTTATATGGTCTTTTTTTTTAAAATTTGGTCAACTCTTTTTATTCCGGTCCCACTTTCCTTCTTCTTCTTTCTATCTACGCCTCCCACTCATCTCTATGTTCTCTCTTGCCGGCCACTCTCTTCTTTCTACGTCTCCACTCCTTTTCTTCTTCTTCTTCTTCTTCTTCTTCTTCCACAGATCTCTCCTGCATCTGCAATCCCCAAAAGAAATGCTTACTTCAACAATCCGCGCCCTCCTGATTCACTATTGGAGGTACGGTTCTAGCGAAAGCTTATTTTTTTTCCATTTTAGTTTTCTTGGTCTCAAATCATGCTAATTTTGGTCACTATGAAGCATTTCTTGATATCTTTTCTTAAAAGTGAATTTGAGTTTTGGGTCATGGAAATGCTTGATCTTGTGGTTCACTCCTGCTTTAGAGCATAGTGTGCATCAAAATAGTGTTTGTAAATTAATTGTGCATTTGCTTGAATTTTATTTTTTGTCACATGTAGCAGAGTGACTTGCAATTGGCTTTATGTTGTTCTTTTGGTTTGTTCTTTCTCTTTATTCTAGGTGGTTTGGATTTCCATGTTGGAGGTTTTGTTTTGTTGTCTATGAGTAGGTTGCTTTACTTTTCTGCAATTTCACCTGAAATTCAATACTTAGTTTGTCGCTTGCCGATAAAGAGTTGGTGATGATCTTATTCAAGTAAAAACATTGGATTATGTATAGAACCATTGATGGGCATTGTGAAGAGAAAGAAAGATCTAATGACCTATAACTTCTTGATTTGATCGGCAAAAGCCAAGAGTCATGATTAAGTCATATTTTTAATGGAAAAATCTCATATTGCGCCGCTCCTCTCTGGATCATAGGTTTTTTTTTTTCTTTTCCACTATGAAAAGTTCAAGTTGGAAGAGGGCCATTATGGCTGAAAGAAGTTGGAACAGTAGAGTGTGTGATATGGATATAGAGTAATAAAAGATGTCAAAGTCCTGATTGCTCTGTAGTCTGTAGCATACTTGCGACCTATAGACTTTTGCTCCCTCTGGGTTAAGTTTTTTACTATCGTTTTTATAAGTTCTTCATTATCAATTTTGGGATGCTGTCGTTGCTTCTTATTAATTGACTTGTTGGAAATAATGATGCAGTATATGCTTGATCTGGTAGTTTGATCTCAGGGGAAATTAAGGTAATCTACTTTTTTAACGACAATGGAGGCCAAATTCTTTTGCTTTCTCAAGATTGTAAGTGTTAGGTTTAAAGTTAGAGCGGAGGCTGAAGGATGCCTCTTGTACTAAAAATGAGGCTACAGCAGGAGGTAGAGCTGACTATTCCTCCCGCGGTGCGTGTCTTTTGCTTTAAGAATAATGGGGTCTGCTGTAACAGAATTGACAAGCAAAGGGGTGCATCAATTCGCTGCAACAGTTCGTAGTTGCAAGGCTCCTGAAGTTTACAATGGCAAGAGTATAATATATATTGATGAAGTTATCAAGAAGAAGGCAAGGAAGTAGTCGAAATGAAGAGACTGGCCTACAAGAGAGAAAATAGAGAGACGAGCGGGAGGCATGGAAAGAAAGAAGAAGAAGGAAAGTGAGACCCGTATGGAAAAAAGAAGAAGAAACAAAATAAAAAGAGTTGACCAAATAATAAAAAGGAATCATATGAAATTATAGCGGAAGTTGTGAGCCCTACAAGGGATAGCATGATCAAAATAACAAAAAAGGGAGTGTCTTAATCAAAGGAGGAGTGGAAAAAGCACGCCCTAGTCAAAATCAATCATACAAATGAGGGAAAATCCCACTAAATATGTAAGGTTTTTTTGTGAGACACTAATACCCCAAATATTTTTTCACCTCACCAATAACCCCAAACTACTATCACTAACCCAAAAATACCTTATGTCATAGTTTTGTCCAGAATGTCCGCATAAAAATTAACATGGTAAAATCTATGAACGACACTAGGCAAACGGATCTAACGTGGCTATGCACATCTCTTAAGTCTGGCCCAAATGACAAAACAAAGCTCTCTCTCTCTCTCTCTCTCTCTCTCTCTCTCTCTCTCTCTCTCTCTCTCTCTCTCTCTCAAGATTTTATTGAAATAAAGGCTCCAATTAATTGATTTCTTGGTTACAAGGTTCACATTGGTCGATTCACCAATTAGGTCGACATTTTGGGGTTTTTACTGACAGTGACAAACTATTGGTGTTTATATGTGTAATGCAACGGCATTGATGACCTACTCAACATCTATTTACCGGTAAGCATACTTATCTTCTTATTTTTGTACTTGTGGTTGGGTTTTGTGATTTGAATTGAATTGGTTGACGATCTTGTACATAATATTATCCATGAAAATTTATATGTTTGTGCATCTAATCCCTTATCAATCAGTTCAACTTGCAAAATTTCTTTTATTTTGGAGGGCGATTTCTTTGGGAAAAAGAAAATTTGGATAGAGACTATGAATGATGTGATGATGACGTCAATTATAGCCCATGAAGTGTCTAGTGAACCAATTAAATTTACATCATAAATTTTTATTTCCATCATTTGCAAAATTCATAGTAAAAAAGGTCACGCTTTTTCCACTCCTCATATGACTTAGACACTCCCTTTTTTGTTATTTTGACCATCCTATCCCTCGTGGGGTCCACCGCTTCTTATACAATTTTATATGGTCTTTTTTTTTAAAATTTGGTCAACTCTTTTTATTCCGGTCCCACTTTCCTTCTTCTTCTTTCTATCTACGCCTCCCACTCGTCTCTATGTTCTCTCTTGCATGCCACTCTCTTCTTTCTACGTCTCCACTCCTTTTCTTCTTCTTCTTCTTCCACAGATCTCTCCTGCATCTGCAATCTCCAAAAGAACTGCTTACTTCAACAATCCGCACCCTCCTGATTCGCTATTGGAGGTACGGTTCTGGCGAAAGCTTCTTTTTTTTTTTCCATTTTAGTTTTCTTGGTTTCAAATCATGCTAATTTTGATCGCTATGAAGCATTTCTTGATATCTTTTCTTAAAAGTGAATTTGAGTTTTGGGTCATGGAAATGCTTGGTCTTGTGGTTCACTCCTGCTTTAGAGCATAGTGTGCATCAAAATAGTATTTGTGAATTAATTGTGCAGTTGCTTGAATTTTATTTTTTGTCACATGTAGCAGAGTGACTTGCAATTAGCTTTATGTTGTTCTTTTGGTTTGTTCTTTCTCTTTATTCTAGGTGGTTTGGATTTCCATGTTGGAGGTTTTGTTTTGTTGTCTATGAGTAGGTTGCTTTACTTTTCTGCAATTTCACCTGAAATTCAAAACTTAGTTTGTCGCTTGCCGATAAAGAGTTGGTGATGATCTTATTCAAGTAAAAACATTGGATTATGTATAGAACCATTGATGGGCATTGTGAAGAGAAAGAAAGATCTAATGACCTATAACTTCTTGATTTGCTCGGCAAAAGCCAAGAGTCATGATTAAGTCATATTTTTAATGGAAAAATCTCTTATTGCGCCGCTCCTCTGGATCATAGGGTTTTTTTTTAATTTTCCACTATGAAAAGTTCAAGTTGGAAGAGGGCCATTATGGCTGAAAGAAGTTGGAACAGTAGAGGAGTGTGTGATATGGATATAGAGTAATAAAAGATGTCAAAGTCCTGATTGCTCCGTAGTCTGTAGCATACTTGCGACCTATAGACTTTTGCTCCCTCTGGGTTAAGTTTTTTACTATCGTTTTTATAAGTTCTTCATTATCAATTTTGGGATGCTATCGTTGCTTCTTGTTAATTGACTTGTTGGAAATAATGATGCAGTATATGCTTGATCTGGTAGTTTGATCTCAAGGGAAATTGAGGTAATCTACTTTCTTTAACGACAATGGAGGCCAAATTCTTTTGCTTTCTCAAGATTGTAAGTGTTAGGTTTAAAGTTAGAGCGGAGGCTGAAGGATGCCTCTCGTACTAAAAATGAGGCTACAACAGGAGGTAGAGCTGACTATTCCTCCCGCGGTGCGTGTCTTTTGCTTTAAGAATAATGGGGTCTGCTGTAACAGAATTGACAAGCAAAGGGGTGCGTCAATTCGCTGCAACAGTTCGTAGTTGCAAGGCTCCTGAAGTTTACAAGGGCAAGAGTATAATATATATTGATGAAGTTATCAAGAAGAAGGCAAGGAAGTAGTCGAAATGAAGAGACTGGCCTACAAGAGAGAAAATAGAGAGACGAGCGGGAGGCATGGAAAGAAAGAAGAAGAAGGAAAGTGAGACCCGTATGGAAAAAAGAAGAAGAAACAAAATAAAAAGAGTTGACCAAATAATAAAAAGGAATCATATGAAATTATAGCAGAAGTTGTGAGCCCTATAAGGGATAGCATGATCAAAATAACAAAAAAGGGAGTGTCTTAATCAAAGGAGGAGTGGAAAAAGCACGGCCTAGTCAAAATCAATCATACAAATGACGGAAAATCCCACTAAATATGGAAGGTTTTTTTGTGAGACACTAATACCCCAAATATTTTTTCACCTCACCAATAACCCCAAACTACTATCACTAACCCAAAAATACCTTATGTCATAGTTTTGTCCAGAATGTCCGCATAAAAATTAACATGGTAAAATCTATGAACGACACTAGGCAAACGGATCTAACGTGGCTATGCACATCTCTTAAGTCTGGCCCAAATGACAAAACAAAGCTCTCTCTCTCTCTCTCAAGATTTTGTTGAAATAAAGGCTCCAATTAATTGATTTCTTGGTTACAAGGTTCACATTGGTCGATTCACCGATTAGGTCTGACATTTTGGGTTTTTACTGGCAGTGACAAACTATTGGTGTTTATATGTGTAATGCAACGGCATTGATGACCTACTCAACATCTATTTACCGGCAAGCATACTTATCTTCTTATTTTTGTGCTTGTGGTAGGGTTTTGTGATTTGAATTGAATTGGTTGACGGTCTTGTATCGGTCTAAACAAAGGGCGAAGTATTAACAGGTGTTTTGCTATTTTGTTGCAAATAGAACACCATTTTTCAGTTAGGCTCCACTTGGGTGGCTTAATAGAGTTGGAGAAAATGTGAAAGTTTCGAGTCTTGTTGAACACTATCATTGAGGATAGAAGGCTTAGTTAGTGAACTATGTTAAACTTGTGACCTATACACTACAACTTAGGCTATAAAGTTTAAAAGTTATGGCATAGGAGTTTTGGTTTTACCTTGAAGAGTGGGTTTGTGTAGATTTACAGTAATGATCATGTTAATTTAATGTCTCGAGTTTGAACTGTTTACAAAATTCGTCCCGGTTGGATAAGTCTCCAAATTTGAACGTGTTGCTCACTTGTTTTCTTTGGGCACGGGGGTTTTCTTCTTCTTCTTTTTTATTGTGAAAAGGCTCTGCAGCCGCAATATAAAGAAGAAAAAGAAGTCCTCCGACACTGAAAGACAAAAGAAGGGGCACACTTATTTTATAAGTTCCATTTGTGGACGCAAAAATGTCTTAGTGAGAGAAAGAAACAAAAGCAAACACATAGGGTTTTGTTTCTTTACTCCTTAGCCGCAAATGGTGAAGGAGCCGCACGAAGGACAAGAAAGGGAGTAGGGTGGTGCGACTTCTCCTTAAGAAAAAGAGCTCGAAAAGGAGAGGAAGAACGGACGGTGTTCTTGTTTTTCGGCCGCACGGACGTGAACAAGGTGAATTTTGTTACATCTACATATTTATTTATTTGTAAACACTTTGAGTTTAGGTATAATCTAGGTGGAGAAAGTACTCGAGCGTATGAGCGATTATAACTCTGATTCTTCGATTATAGTGAATGATTTATTACCGGCTCTCCCCATGGATGTAGGTATTAACATTCGCACCAAATTACGTAAATATTTGACATCCTTTATTGTTCCCCGTTTAATTTTTCGGTGATTTTGCATTGACTTTAATTGTGAGATTCGGTTGGTTTTACAACAGATCAATTGGTGGGTCTATTATCAGGACTGACTACTATTGATGTTTATGTTGAAAGGGAATTGATAGATACTATTGATGTTGAATCAGTAGATGAAGTTGGGGTTGAAGTGGGAGATTAATATTCACTGGGGATTAAGTTAGGAGATGAATTTAGGGTTGGGGTTAGGATTTGAATATGGGGTGCCAGCTTGAGTGAAGTTGAGGTTATATAGGGTTGAAAAAGAAGACGAATTTGAGTTTGTGGTTGACTTAGAAGATGAAGCTAGAGTCAAAGTTGGGGCTGGGCTTGAATTTGGGGTTCTAGCCGAGGTGAAGAGGATATCGATATCGACACCGAGAGTGATGACAGTGAAATTGGTGACCATGACAATGGGAATGAGATGGATGATGGTGAGAGACTTTGACTGTAGCGGTAGTGCTAATGGCTATCGAGGCTACGAACCTCAAGATGCATTACCAAGGAGTGTTGACGAACGCATCTTATTTGATGATGAGTTATTTCAAGCAAAGGAAATGAAAAAGGAGCTGACGTTGCAAAAAAAAGTTGCATTGGCCATTGATGCAGTAGACGATCACATAAACGAGGAGGAAATATTACCAAAAAAAGTCTTAAACTTATTGCAAGTGTGCCAACTCAGTCTATCCGGTCAATTTTGATCGGCCGGCGCTGATGTGGATGCCGGTCGATGCTAATGTTGATAATTTTTAATAGACTTTTATTTTTTTTTTTTTTTTTGTTTTCCCGTAGGTGGTCGGCGAGGCTCCGGCGAGGCTCGCCGGCCTCGCCCCAAATCTAGGTGAGGATAGCCTCGTCATGGCCTCGCCGGCCGCAGGCGAAGGCGGCCTTGCCCGCAGCTACGCCTTGCGATATGGGCACGAGTCCTGGGGGCCGCGGGCGAGGCCGTGGCCGCCTTCGCCCCGTGGCAACGCCTCGCAATCTTTTCTTCGGGGAGTGTGTGGGAGACGAGAGTAAATATGGCCGGGCCTCAAGCCTTGTCCCACGGACTTTTGTGTTTAATGAGTTTCGATCAAATGAGTGGTGACTCTAGTATGGAGAATGGGCTAGAGCTGGCGGGCCTGAACGGTCCGGAAGGACCTAAACAAAATTGATTTTGCGAGCCATAAAACATGAGGCCGAGAAATAGGAAGGGCCCCCCAATCATCTTCCTAATACATGTTTCTAATTTTTTATTTGTTAATTAGTTTATCGTTTATTTATCTATTTATTGTTGTTTTTCTATATATATATTTTTTATATTTTATAAAAACAAGTGCTTGAATGGTCGACAAAATTTCAGGTGTCAATAACGCTGACTCTCGTATGTTCACACCATCAGCACCGCACGTCAGCTTTTGCCATGAAATCGATGACACTTTGTAAATTAAACAAAGTCGTTTACGACAAATGGTGAAGGACATGATGATTGGAAATTTACCGAGTTAGGGAAGTTGACTGCACAAACTTATCAACCGATTTCGCAATGGGGTTGCTCATAGTCCCCCGTCAGGCCACAGACATCGGATTCTCGGGGATTTATAAAAGTGCCCATTGGTCAAGCGAAAAACTCCGATTACCGAAAAATTTTAAGAAAATGACACAAATAGTCCCTGAACTCTAGCTCAATGCGATCTTTAAATTTTTAATTTGTTCAACGTGGTCTATGAACTTTAACCCAATGTGCAATGTGACCCATGAACTTTTGGTACATGTTTAATTTAGTTATCGGACTTTCGGTACATTTTCAATTTAGCAATATAGTCCTTCAATTAATTCAAGTTCAATGACTACATTGAATATTTTTATATAATTTGGAGATTATATTAAATATGTATCAAAAGTTCAGGGATCATATTGAACAAATTAAAAATTTATGGGCCGCATTGAATACTAGGCTCAAATTCAGAGGTTATATTGAATAAATTAATAATTCGGAGGCCATTTTGTATAATTGGTCAAAGTGTATTAGGGAGACGCGACATCGTGCGTAGGAGGCAAGGGTAAAGAAGGACCGCACCGCACGTGTGTTGTTCTTGCCAGTCAGGTCGGACCCTCACGAGTCACCGCAAAACAAGACATGAAATTTGAATCCTGAAAAACAGGCAGAGAAGACGCCATGTTTTCCCTTCCCATCGTCTTCTCCAATATAAACTAATCAATCATCTCTCTCTCTTCCCACCTCCCCTCCGCTGTCGCTGTTTTCCAGCGAGAGTGAGTGCACTCTACTCTTCCTTCACCCCTCTCTCTCTCTCTCTCTCTCTCTCTCTCTGCAAGTTGCTTTGTCTCATTCTTGATCTAATCCCACCGCCATCATTAACCATCTTGAATCCTCTCTCTCTCTTTTCACGCCCGGCTTTTGTTCGTACCCATTTGATTTGTTCCGTCAGTTTCAGCGTTTTCCCCCCCGCACCCACCTGAGCTCGCGCTCGAAAAGCTTCGATGCTTGCTTGTTTCGGTCGTATGCTCGTCCAGATCTGCACCCAGATGGACCCAGGACCCAGCTTTTCGTTTTTTTCTTGATTCTTGATTCTGCACAAGTTCCGGCGACGAGAATGCGGGCGTAGGGTCGTGGGTTACTCTCTTTTTCTCGTTTCTTTTCCTTTTCTTGGAGCCATTTTTGTGATCGCATTGCTCAGATTTCGCCGGATGGGATCGGGCGCTAGCAAGGCGTCGTCAAGCGGCTCTCGAAGGGATCGGTCCAAAGGGAAAGGTAGGGTTTTCCAGTCATCCTGCCTCGGGACTCCCTCTGGATCTCACGACAATGACGATGGCGATCAGGTGGGTGTTCCCAGTTCTTTCTTTAACTAATCAAGCCGGTGTTTCTTTCTTTATGGGTTGCTGCGTCGCTCCCATTTCAATGTGTGGCTTAGTTTTGGGTTCGATTTTGCGTATGGTTTTTGTTGGGCAAAGGATCTGTATTGTATTGGCCACATTGCGTGCATTTCTGGAAAATCAGTGATTTGATTAGGACAAGCAGTCCATTGGGCTAGTTTCTATTCGTGTTTATGCTTCAGTATGGATTCATGCATTTCGAGGGCCAAATTAAGCAGAGCAGGTGGACTGTGTTGGCCCTGTGGAGCATGATATTGTTATCTCTCTTCTTTGTGGTGAGACCAGAGTGCAGAGTCTTATGGGAACGTGTGATCTTCCGAAATGTCATTGACTCAGATTGTCCTCTTTCAGGTTTTCGAACAGCAAGACAAAGATGATGACAACTTCGGTTCTTGTACAAACCGGAATGGAACAGTGAGGGATGAGGTTAAGGTCGAGTGTCACAGAAAAGTGGAAGTTGATTCCTCAGCTGATATGTCTCGCGTGTCTTCTGATAACGAGTTTCGAGAATGGGACCAACCTAGTGTGACCGGCCCTGTTGCTAGACCTGGAAGCAGCTCTATCCGAGCTTCTTCAACTCAGTCCTTGAACCCTACCAATCGCTTCCTTTCTCGCTTTAGTTTTTTTCCTGGTAACGTGAGCTTCAGACTAAGTAGAGCAACCAGCTTACGATCTCCCAGGGATTATAATATCTCTCCAACAAATCTTACAGTTGAGGACAATGAAGATGACTTTCATTTGCACGGATCACCTCCCAGTGGGTTGGTGAATTTGAATGGATCTCGACAAGGTAGTTACTTTGTCCCTATGTTTTTGATGACTAAAAGTGACACAAATGCAATGCACACACTGCGAATTACCAGGTCGAATCCCGGCATCCAATTGTTCGAATGATTAAGTAGCCAATTTTTCAATCTTTTGTACACGTTACTTAGTTACTGATGTTAGCAATGCCAGAATTGAGGTTGACCCACCAAACTCAATGTTCTGCTTCAACATTTATTGAACCAGGGAATGTAGAAAGTGGACTTCCTGAAAGACGAGCTGGAGCTCGCGAACCCGTTGAAAGGAATGTTCGTTTCAGTAGAACCCTCAGTGTGGGAAGGCTTCGTGATAGAGTTCTCCGTCGATCATCATTACCTGAATTATCATTTGGCCCAATGCAGCTAGGAGAGTTGAGAAATGATTCTGAAGGTAGTGAAAGACAGGTCTTGAGTGTTGAGACGACGGATTCAGCCCCTGCTGATAATTCAGTACCATCTGCATCAACATCTGGATACTCTCCTTCTGGCCTGTCTCGCACCTTATTTAACAACCATGATCATGACATAGAGGCAACGCGATCAAGGGAGGCTAGGTACCGTGATTTATTAGAACATAGAACAGATTTCCTTGAACGTCGGAGGCGAATACGTTCTCAGGTGAGTAAAATTTCTTCTTTCCTTTCTTGATGTTTGTGTATACAAGGTACATCTCAGAATTCAGATCAATTTTCACAGTGAAAGAGGACATCTATGTATGGTACTGCAAAGTCCATTCATGTCATCTTAATTCTCATTAACAAGGAATGAAATGAAGAGTAACGTAAGATTTGGGAATGACATAAGGCATGAAAGTAAGAACTGACCTTTTCGTATTTCAAGGCTTGCCATTATCTAAGTCCTTTTGCAATATTACAGATATTTAGTACCTTTTCTTTTCAAGAAGTAACTTTTTCAACGCCTTTGTAGGATATGCATTGAATTGTGAAATTTCTTTTAATCCAAAATCTTGCATAATGGGTGTTTGATGCTTTTTCTGTATGTGCGTCATTCATTTCTTTATTGTAGTTCATTTGTCATTGTCATTCTTAGTCTCACTCTAGTTAAGTCGAACGAACCCACATAAAGTGTGGTCAATTGACTAGTTTCATGTATTACCTTAAAATGCTTAGCCATCGGTCTGCAAATCTTCCTTGTCCTGAAAATTTCCAGGCATATTTGTAGGGAAGCACAAGGTAAAGTCTACTGGTTAGTATTAGGCAATATACAGTGCTTGAATTAGGGGAACCATGTGCAGCATCTACTTGTATGTTACCTAAATACCATCGTGTGGTCAGGCTATTTTTTGAACTCTTTGGATAGTTGTTGATGTTAGGCTATGGTATTTTTCTCCACTGCCTTCTTACCTAGCTGAATTAGATTATAATTCCCTGCAACATCTTTAATACTGTAGGTTCGCGCTCTCCAGAGATTAGGAAGCCGTTTTGAGAACCTGTCTGGCCATGAGAGATCTTGCATTCTATCTGGTCAGCATAGGACAGGTCGCTGCACATGTCGTAGCAGTAATCATGATGCCAATTCAAATGATGATGCCAATGCTAGGGCTAGCATATCAAGAATCGTAATGCTGGCTGAAGCTTTATTTGAGGTACTTATGATTTGATTACCATTTCATAGTACTTATTACCAATTTACTGTTATCTGTTTAAGTTGAATATTTTCATACTTAATTTACTTAGGTTCTGGATGAAATTCACCAGCAATCCGTTGTTTTATCCTCCCGACCTTCTGTATCTTCAATTGGATCTGTTCCTGCACCAAATGAAGTTGTGGACTGTTTGCCAATCAGATTGTACACAAAGTTGCAGAAGAATCAGAATGAAGAGGCCGCACAGTATGTCTTGTTTATGCTACTCATGAGCCTAGTTTACCCTACATTAGTAGTCTTTTGTGGTTGAACCATTAGTTGCCTATTCTGTATGTTAATTTGTGGTTTATCCTTCCAAAAGTATATTCTATATCTAATAATATTGTTATCATCTTGTTATGATTTAGTATCTAGGGCAATCTACAGTTCTAGCTTCTAACTAAATTTGGTATATAGCCGTTGAATTATACAAATTTTATGGAGAATGACCTGTTTTGACTGTGTGTTTGGGTGGGTGGACATCATTTGTGTGTCCATGCATGTATCTATGTATGTATCTGCGCATGTGCCTCCTCTTGTCTGCGTCTGTGCGTGCACATTCTTGCTTATGTGTGTCTCTATGCGTGCTTCTTCCTATTGATAAGTATTGCTGGTGAATTTGCTCGATTGTGCAAGTCTTCTCTTTTCTTCAAGTTGAGTGTTTTCCCGATATGTGTTTTTGAAGTTCTTAAAGTTTAAAACATGCCACAATCTTTCGCTGGCACTTACATCTGATTTGCATTCAAGTCTCTGGAGTCTGGCCCTCATAATTCCTTTTGTGTCATGCAAAATGTGACAGATGTTACATATGCCTTGTGGAGTATGAGGATGGTGACAGTATGCGAGTACTTCCATGCAATCATGAGTTCCATAGGACATGCGTAGACAAATGGCTTAAGGAGATTCACAGGTACGTTTCTGGCTAGGGTTAGTAATTGTGTATGCATTAAGCACTTCTGCAGTCAGTATGCTATCAAGAGGAACAGAGTTTTATCTTCTCCAGCCTAGCCCGATTATTATTTTTTAAGTTAGGTTGCCATGGCTGGCTAAATAAACTTAATGGGTACATGTTCCACAGGGTATGTCCACTTTGTCGCGGGGATATATGCCGGTCTGATTCTTTTTCTGCTGAGGATGAAGCGAATCAGTTGGCTATCTGATTATTAAAGATTGTAGCTTTTTCTGCGCTTGATGGTGAAAGGCCATGCAGACCCCGAGGATTGACACTAAAGCGCGACTCATTGTCAAGTTCAGTCCGTTTCCCCCAATATGCGGTTGGTTTGCGATTTATTGAGAAATCCATTACTGGTAGGAGTGGACTGAACTGCTTGCAATCTGCAAATCTCCTTGTGGAGAGAGAGAGAGAGAGAGAGAGAGAGAGAGAGAGAGAGGGGTTTCCTCTTATGTATTCTCTGGCTACATCAGTCCCTCAATGACGATGCTGGCTTTTTGGGTTGTTGACATGATTGTCAAGGACATTGCCGACATCTGATCACGAAGGAATGGCAGAATTCTGTACCCTTTTACATTGATACCAGAGATTAAAATAGGGAATCCGTGCGTCTGCGATGTTTGCATGGTGTTCATATGCAAGTCTAGTCCTCAAGATGGATCTTTGATCAGCTTCAATTTACGTTCGGCTCAAAGCATAGTTGTGGTCATCAAGAGGCTCTCAACGCTTGAAGCCAAATGTGTTTACTAGCCCTGTGTCATGCACGATCCCTTTACTTGACGCACGCCTTCTTGTTTGGAGAGTATTTCATGAAATGAATGAGACATTACTACTGGATCACTCATATTGACCCTTATTTTCTTTATACCCTTCGACTATCTCTGCATTATTTTAGTTCCGATAGTACATGAATAAGAAGATGCTCATGACTAATTTTTTGATGTTCTTCTTTCGATCAGTTAAAAATTGTGATACAAATAATCATTTTTAGGAAAATATTTTCCAAATCTTTTATTTTTTACGAAACAAACGGAGCCTGAGAATGTCTTCACGAAGTTGTTATTGAAAATTTGAAAAGCTACAATTGATGTTATACTTGCACCCTGCTCTTTTTTCTCACAATGAGCAACGTACCATAACATTCTTAGATATTGGATCCAAAGGAGACCTACATAGACCAACCTAATCAGTGGTCGAGACTCAACCGATTCAAGATGGATTTGGTCTATTCAATAATCTTTCGCTTTATAGTAATATTTTTCAAAACTGTAGTGGAAATTCAAATAAGACATATGAGTATTTATATGGTTAAAATGGTTAAATCGATCGTAATTATAGTCGTCAGACAATCTGATTGACACTCGACCAAACTTTAAAACAACACTCTTTGCGCCTTTTCAGGGAAAAAGTTATGACATGTTTTCTCATTTAGCTTGTTGACAGTACAATTTGATGAGTTCCGAATCATTTTTTCTTTGGACCCACAAAAGAAAAATCAATTATTCAAAAATAGCCCTGAAATAAAAATGAAAATCGAAACGGTCCAACCGTTTAAACCGGTTTAGAAAGACCCGAGGAGAATACACGACACACCTTCTCTCTTCCCTACAGGAATCAAAAGCGAAAAATTTTACAAAAAGATAAGCGAGCTGAGATCGCCGGAGCTTTCGCCCGAAGCGCTCGCCGGAGGAGCTTCGTTCGTCAGGGGAACACGATGAACTCGAACGCCGACAGCTTCTCCGACGACCTCATCAGCAACCCCCAAACCGACCACCCTCCCGACGTCCTTCTCCCCCACCCTCACCTCCCCCAACCTCCTCCTCCTCCTGCTCCTCCTCAGCAGCACCAGCAGCGCCGCCCTCGCGGCTTCGCCGCCGCCGCGGCCACGGCGGGCCCCGCCTCCGCCGGCAAGGGGAAGAGGGAGCGGGAGAAGGAGAAGGAGCGCACCAAGCTCCGGGAGCGCCACCGCCGCGCCATCACCAGCCGGATGCTCGCCGGGCTCCGCCAGTACGGCAACTTCCCCCTCCCCGCGCGCGCGGACATGAACGACGTCCTCGCCGCCCTGGCCCGCGAGGCCGGCTGGACGGTCGAGGCCGACGGCACCACGTACCGGCAGTCTCCGCCGCCTTCTCAGCTGGTACGGTCAACCAATTTGCCTTCTCGTTGCTCGATACGTCGCGTTCGCGGGTTATCTTAACAGAAATTGATGTAGAATTGCGAGAGAAACTGGAGAGATTGAATGAGATTGCTGTAGCTTCTAATGTGATAGTGGTGGTTGTGTGACCAATTTGGAACAGGCGACATTTTCGGCTAGGTCGATGGATAGCCCTGCGTCTGCGGCTTCTTTGAAGAATTATGGTGTTAAGACGACTTTGGATTCCCAGCCTTCTGCTGTTATGAGGATGGACGAGAGCTTGTCGCCCGCTTCTCTTGATTCTGTTGTGATTGCTGAGAAGGATCCGAAGAGTGTGAAATATGGCCAGACTAGTCCTATCAATTCGGTCATCGAATGCTTGGATGCTGAGCAGGTATCATCCTTTTTCTGCAATCATGGGGGTCTCAACCTACATTACCTGAATGATAATGTGTTGAAGAACAGAAACAGTTAGGTGAAGTGAACAACAGCTATTATCAAATTGGAAGAGAATCTCACAAATCAAACTTTTCTTACTAAAGGCGTGTTTTTCCGTTAAGTTAAGTTAGCTGGTATACAACTCAATAATGGGCTGTTGCTGTCTGACTTGAATATGATTAGTTTTTTATCGAATTGCCAGTGTGAAGATAATTTTTTTTCTTCAGTAAGTAGTTGATTTCATTCTTGATCCAATAACAAAATAAGATATCTTATATCATGTTTAATACGTGCAGCTAATTCATGATGTCAGTTCTGTGGACCAACAGAGTGTCTTTACAGGCACAGACTTTGTTCCAGTTTATGTGAAACTGGTAAGTATATTTCCTACTTTAGCCTGTAATTTATTGATATCCAAGAGTTCTCACAGGAGAAAATTTTGATTTTATTTGTCTGTCTCTTTGCTATTTTTCTACTCTTATCTCCCAAAAGATATTTCTTTTTATTCATAATGTGAGATTATACATTTATACCAATGCACTTGAGCTTCTGTGACAGGATGGTACCATCAACAATTACTGTCAGCTTGTTGATCGGGAGGGTGTGAGACAAGAGCTAAATCATATTAAGTCATTAAGTGCAGATGGTGTTATCGTGGATTGTTGGTGGGGTATTGTTGAAGGCTGGAATCCTCAGAGATATGTCTGGTCTGGTTATAGAGAATTATTCCACATCATCAGAGAATCCAAGCTGAAACTGCAGGTAGCTGTAAGCCTCTATCTATTAAGTAATAAGTTTGGTTTTTCGTGTCCTTTTGAATTTTCATTTTATGTGTCTTTTTGTGTTTTCAGTTTAAAGTTCCGGTTCATAATTTTCTTTATTCTTTTGGATGGTAAAATTATATCTTTCTGTTTTTCAAGAATGTTGCTCCAGAAATTTTTTTGTTTGAGCAAGAGCAGAAAATATTTTTTTTCTTTTTTTGTATCTCAAGTTGGGTTGGGCTCCAGGTCTGGAACATTAAATTACGGAGATTGATACTTTTTATCCGTGTATTTTAGATCCAATATATAGTTGTTTATTTGCATTTATGTGTCAAAATATGTCTCTCTGATGGAGTAAATGTATTTTGATATGTTTTCCCAATCATGGAGGTTGTGTTGGCATTTCATGAGTATGGAGGAAATGATTCAGGTGATATCTCAGTCTCTCTCCCTCAGTGGGTTCTAGAGATTGGAAAGGAAAACGAAGATATATTCTTTGCTGACCGTGAAGGAAGGAGAAACACTGAATGCTTGAGTTGGGGCATTGACAAAGAACGAGTGCTCAAAGGAAGGACTGCTATTGAGGTATATAATACATCATTTTCCTTGCAATACTTACCAATTGGTCATCTTTCATATAGATATTTCTTTGTAAGTAAAGCATTTAAAAACTGACAGAGTTTTCTGTGCAAACCTGCTGTGTATAAGCTATGGAGGTATGGATAATATACCTGACAGTTCTTTATATATTGAGTAATACATGCAGGTATATTTTGATTTTATGAGAAGCTTCCGAACAGAGTTTGATGACTTGTTCTGTGAGGGTCTCATTACAGCGGTTGAGATTGGATTAGGACCAAACGGAGAACTCAAGTATCCTTCTTTTCCAGAGAGGATGGGATGGAGGTACCCCGGCGTTGGTGAGTTTCAGGTATTGGTTGCACAGTGTACATTTCCTTCTTTTTCGTACCGCGTATGGTTGGAACCTCTTCGGCTGTGTCCAGGGATTCATCTAGAATGGCAACATGTGATGTGGATGAATGACTATCGTCATGTCTGAAGCTCTTAGTGCTCCATGTTTAGCTATAAATGCAAGTAATAGTAGATTGAATGACCATCAGTCTGGATCTCTATTATTGTACATTTTTCAGATTGATGTTGCTTAATTGCCTTCTGCTCACATTAGTCAGTGGAACAGCGTATGTTGCATGGATGTTGTGATTGGTATAATCATTTTGCATTTCCTTCTTTTTTGTGATTTTGATAAAGATCGAGAGCTTTTAGCTAGGGCATACTATTGAGGTAAGATTTTGATGCTTGTTATCATTGTAATTTAGCAAGTAAGCTTGCTTCAACAATACTATATAAGCAAAACATGCAGTTCTGCCGCGGTTCTTCACTTGTGAATCCTTACGTTGGAAAATCGAGATGAACCAGTATATTTCTGAAAGTTAAGCTGATCAAAACTTGGATTAGGAAGTGACTTCAGTGCATTATCTTATGAATGGACCTGAAATTTGTAGTTTAGAGCCATAACTCTAACTACAATCACTTGTAAGTTAAAAAAAGAGAAAAAAAAGATAATGATATAATAGTTATTATTAGCTAGAAAGAGTAGCCAGGTCATTGCCATTGGCAAAGATCGCTTTCATTTTGTGGAGATTGGCACACTCACTTCCCTAAAACATTGATGATGAACCAAAAGTCGAAGCCTCTACCCTTGAGAGTGGTTCGAGGTGGTAGAGTTTCTCACCAATATTGTTTCAGTGACTTATGTAAATGAAAGATTTATTGTGGCATACTCATAACCACCACGAAGTGATCAGCAGTTGTGCTGCTCATGGTAATAACGTCATGAGAGCTCCTAATAGAGAAAAGAAGAAAACCCAGCCATCGGGAACAGTTTGTTACTTGGTCTGCAACTATGAAAGTTGAACCCTACCTTCAAAGTCCTTTTGCAAGCCATGATAATTCTTCATAATATGCTTCATATCCTGTGTGCAATTGTATATCTATTTCTTAGATGAGCAGCTACTGTGCTTCATTTCTTTCTGTCCTTTTAGTGCTAGGCATCTTCTCTTTTACTAACATAAACTTCAATGTGAATCTGTGATGTAGTGTTATGATAAGTATTTACAGCAAAATTTGCGGAAAGCGGCTAAAATGCGTGGGCATTCCTTTTGGGCTAGGGGTCCTGACAATGCCGGTCAATTTAATTCTAGGCCTCATGAGACTGAGTTTTTCTGTGAACGAGGGGATTATGATAGCTACTATGGGCGTTTCTTCCTCCAGTGGTATGCACAGACTCTGATGGACCATGCCGATAATGTTCTGTCTCTTGCTAATCTTGCATTCGAGGAGGCTAATATTATTGTAAAGGTAGACTCAACATGTTCTTTTCTTTGAATATTTAGCTAAATTCCCATTGATTGGCCAATCTATGGTTCTATAGCAGTGTTGTTGTCAACCTTTCTGATATCGCAAGCTAGACCTATATCCTATGCATTATGGAATCGAAGTGCAACCAATAGTTTTTTCTGTGCTGCACATAGGGTGAGGACAGTAATTTAGTTCAGCATGGAGGCTCCAAACCCTATTGAAGAAATTTGAATTGGGAAATTTGGGAACCAAATTGAACTGAATAAGAGAGTTGAACTGAACTCAATTTGGCAGTTTAGTTTGGTTCCAAACCTCACCCAATTGAATTATCATTTCTCTCTCTTTTCATTGACCACAATTTCTAAAAATTTGGATTATTCAATTTTAAAATATTAAAAGTTGGCCTCTAGAACAATAACAACAATAACCAATAATTAAGCATACGAAAGGTAAACAGATGAACAAATAGATGAATTTCATAAATGTGGCTGGCTGAAGATTAGAACGATATACTTTGAGATCAAAGTGTCACTGGCTCGCCTGCTTTAACCACTCTAGGAACCCTTCAACAACAACCTCCACGTCAAAGATAAGTAAGAAGAGAAAAAAGAAAATTTCAGTTTTGTTTGACAGTTGAGTTTTCTTTCCTTTGAGAAAAATTTTGACCAAATGAACCTTCATGAAATGTGCGGTCCTGGCAGCTACCCTACTACTTCACAGCTGCCAGTTTCTGCTAGATATGCCTTAAATGGCTTGTGCTCATTTCAACCTTCAATGCACGTGAAAATCTCTGTTTCCTGTAGTTTGTACTATTATTATTCCTCTTGCATGCTTTATGGATTCTAAGATGTTCTAGGCGGTTGATTGGATCTTCCCTGATCAGGTTACAAATCAGCAAATTCATCACAACTGCTTACATATTAATTTTAGTTAGGAATTTTCTTGCTGCCAAGTCCTGGCAAAAGGGATATTGGTTTCTCTCACCTTGGTTTCATCAGTCGAACTTGTGAAAAAGGTATAACAAGAGTCGAAAACCTTATGCCGCCAATTTTTTAGCCTTTCAATTGGTGTGTGATCGAGTGCTAACCTTTTCAGAAAAGTGCAGTCAAGTCTCAGTCATCACGTCTTCGATTTCCGTCAGTGGCAGCCTTAGAAGTTGTCGTGTAAGCAATTTCCACCTAGCAGGCAGGCAATTTTTGCAAGGACTTGATTGCACTTTCTTGAAAGGATTCAGAATTTGATTGTAATTTTCTGAAAGGATGTTGGACTTGGTTTTGCATCAATTGAAATGCTTAGGTCAATTTCAATCCCTAGACCCGTACATAAGATTTTGGCTTCCAATAAACTTTTCTGTTGAATTTGCATGATAGTCATCAATACAGTTATTTTGAACGCTGAGCCTATCTGGATCTATACTTGAAGTTCAAACGGATCAATGCATCTTGATTATCTTTTTCTTGATGCATTAAGTGCAAGAAGTATAATGCAAAGATGAATTCTGAGCACTTTATGATGTGGAAAAACAATGCAATTTGCAGGTTCCTGCAGTTTATTGGTGGTACAAGACAGCTAGTCATGCAGCAGAGTTAACAGCAGGATACTATAACCCTACGAATCAGGATGGCTATTCTCCTGTTTTTGAAGTTCTTAAGAGACATTCTGTGACACTGAAGTTTGTTTGCTCGGGTTTACAGGTTCTTAGTCAGGAGCTTGATGAAGGATCTGTAGATCCAGAAGGTTTAAATTGGCAGGTGTTGATCTTATTTGTTTTATGTCCTGAAAAATTGCTCTCATACCACGTTTATATAGTTAATTTCTAACTCTGTTGAAATGCCTTATGGATTGCCTCTACGTATGCAGGTTTTAAATTCTGCATGGGATCGAGGTTTAGCAGTAGCAGGCGAGAATGCACCGTCATGTTACGATAGAGATGGGTTCATGAGAATAGTCGAAATGGCAAAGCCAAGAAATGATCCTGATCACCACCGTTTCTCGTTCTTCGTGTATCATCAGCCATCTTCTCTAGTTCAAAGAACAATGGGTTTCTCAGAGCTGGACTTTGTCATCAAATGCATGCATGGTAAGAATTTTTAAAGGAATTTAACCGGCTCTTAGATGAATAAAAGTACTCTTTTAAGTATATGGAGAGTTTTGACAAAAAAAAAGTATACGGAGTTAGAGAAATGAGGATTAGTTTTTTTTTATCATTCAATGAACATTTTGTATTAAATTTTGGAGACTGAGAATTGATATTAGTGGGTCACTGCATAGTATATAGTACATCGCCCATTAAGAAATTAGCAACCATGCTTGAAACGATATCAAGTTCAGTATCTAAGGAAAGCTTTCCTCATGTTCAAGAATAGGATGGAGTCCCTTAATATATTGTCTGTTTGAACAAGCTTTCTTTCCTGATACACAGGAGGAATACTGGAAGATCTACTACCATGTTAAAGCATTGATTATTCCGAATTTTATTCTCGCAAATGGGCAAATACCCCTTCGAAAGATGTACTACCATGTTAATGCATGGAACAGGGCACACTACCTTCTTCCCCAGCTCTTTGGAAGTTTAATTCATATTCGCATCGGAAGCCAGCCGTCGGGACCAGTGCCCAGCCATCTGGGGAGAAGCAAAGAGTAAAATATTCTTAGCAGAAGAAGTAGGGAGTCAGTCTCCTGACTTTTTCAGCTTCCCTCAAGTTACCTCTTTGATCGCAACTATAAGTTTGATCTCGGCCTTAAGAGGGAGCTTGGACGGATGCCAGAAGTAAATGTTTTACTTTGTTGAGGCAACGTAATGAAGTAGGAAACAGAGGGAACTTGCTATATATTCCATCACTATTCACCTCCATGAATGCAAATTTGCCAGTAGGTAAGCCCAGTAATGGTTCGCAAAACCTGGGCGTCAAGACGTGATAACTGAGAGAGAGAAATTTGGGAAAACGCTTAATTTGATACTTGGCTGAATGTACTCGAAAAAAATGAAATCCTGTCCGGTCAGCATTCGTCACTGAGATTAGACAAGCTAATTAGAACTCAATTACACTTTTATAACAAATTTCGAAACTTGTGATACACTTATCTTTTGAAAATCCTACAAAGCAATGTGGCATGTTTCTCAAGAACACATAGGTTGGGACAGCTGCCCCCACTTAAGGATGCTCGTGCGCCGTCGCTGAGTCAGACGGTTGATAGGGAGGAATTTTATGTTGGTCACAGGTCGAACTTGTACGCGGAGTAGATACTGATAATATTAGTATATTTATTGCGGTAGCAGTTAACCAGACATGGTATCTTTCCCAATGTCCTTTGCGCCTACTTATATTCTCCGAATCTGGCTCAACCTTGAAAGCAGTCAATCAAGCAGCACTGACCACTGACCGCTATTCCATATAGAATAAAGGATAGCATAGAGCTCTTACAAGCGCCTGCTAGGCTAGCTTCACTATACTATAAAGGCTAGATTAACCCTGGTGTAAAATGTTTGCTACTTATGCTGATATGATCATTATTTAATGCTAGGAGATGAAAAAGTCTTCAATGCCTTTATTTTTTTTTTGGCATAGCGGATGATTGTCCATCAATTCGATTGTTTTGGTGAGGTTCCATCCATTCGGATATTGTGGATCATCGCGCATAAGCAATCTCATAATGACGAATGGTCAGAATTTCATCTGGGTTCGAAACCTACCGAGAGGTCCACTAGAGATTAGAAATTGTTGTAAGAAAGAACAAGATGCTTCTTTGTCCCTTCCAAGCGATTGGAAAATGAAGGAATATTTTATATATTCAAGATAATTACGTATTTACAAAATAACGTATCAATTCATCCTATTTCATCAAATCCGGGATGTAACATTGTTCCGAAGGATGAACTGGATATGGAGTAGGAGGAGAAGAAGATGCCATAGAGTTTGCTCTTAGGACAAAAATGGTGGAAGAATCCCCCGTTGACGGAATAAACCTTTTTTCTTGTTTGAAGGAAGAACATGGTGCCAGTTTTTGCGGGATAGGACCTGCTCTTACAGATGCTGCTATTGCCATTTTTGGAATACACTTGACTCTGTTGGAGGAAGAGAGGCAGGAGCAGCAGGTAGAAGGTAAATGATTTTTGAGAAAATGGACCTGTTAAAGACAAATAGATAGTGATGGCAGATAGGGATGTTCGAAGGGGAGATTGAATTGGAAAGCTGAAAGCCTAGGGGTGTAATTTTTTGATTGAATGGAGCAAGGTGGTTTATTCGATATTCGATGCGTAATCTGTCTTTTTCTTGACGTACTGGACTGAAAGGCTAAGATCTTATCTAACAAGCAATTGCCTCGACAGATTGATGGAACTATCAAGAAATAGGATCAATCAATCACGACGTCTTTCTCCCGGCGTTCATTAGCACCATCTTCATCGACATATCAACGTTTACCAACAGCAAAGCTGATACCAATGGTGAGGCTTTGGTCTTGATTCCCTTGGTCGGATGGCCGACAGTGGATTGGAAAATCCATTGTGGGGGGTCATGTGTTTGTAGAATTCTGGAATTTTAAAGATAATTTCTACATATTTTGCAAAAGTCTAAAGATTGTTACACGACATAAAGCAGTGACTAGCAGACTAAGATCAACCACTTGGGGAAAGTGGTGCCATTCTCTCTTTCTCCGCCGTGCTGTCTTAATTCCCTCCACTTCTGCAAAACCGAAGCATCCAAACTATTGGCCGCCTACAGAAAACAAAAGCCCCCAAAAGAGGCTGTGCAGACATTGCCTCAGTAGTCAGTATTAGCTCCAACTTTAATATTCAGAGATACAAAAATGTTACAATTCATCACTGAATTGCATAAAATATTTATTTCTCAATCAGTATGGTACATTGAAAATAAGATGGAATCACAAACAAGGGAAGAGTGATATTGAGTGGTCGGAAAAATCTGTCATCCTCAAAGTAAAGATACAGGAAATAGCAAAGAGCTTAATCGCTTCATTTGCAAACTACTAGGACAGCATATCTTGTTTGCTCCATCTCAAATCCCAACCTTACAAACAGAGAAGAACTGAGGGAAAATAAGTACTCGATCTCATCTTGTACGTGTCCTCGAGTAGTCAGATTTGATAAAAACCAGGTACTATATTTGAAAGGAAGCAATGTAGCCCACCTGAGTGTTGAGACGGCGAGTCCCTGCTTCTTGGCAATAGCATCATCCCAGCTACGAAACTTCTACATTGGGCCTCTGACGACATGAATTACCCATGAACACCTTTCCACGCCGGAATGTGGATAATGGTTAAACATTAGGAGCAAGCAGCCATGCACTGAAGTCCATATCCCAAAGCTCGAGAAGCGGACACCACAGTGGAAGGAATCAGCACTAATTGCTTCCAATGTATTATTTAGGGTCCTGGTTATAATGACATGCCGATTTGTAAGGACAAAAGCAGCCTTACTAGTATCAGAAGTGTGTATTCAGAAGAAAAATCCCAGTATCAGAAGTGCGTTTGCCAGCTTCACCTTTCTCACTAAAAGAGCATGGCAATTAGAACGAACTATATCGACCGATAAAAGGAGTACCAGAGGAGGGAAAAAAAATGAAACTACAGTGTACCTGAATTTGCTTTCGAGCTGTTTGCTTGGCCTCAAAAGGCGAGACGAGAGCTAAATTAACTTTTAACTGTTTCTGTTTCAACCGGTAGCTAAGTGTCAAACAAGGTGAAAATTAGCCCTTCGTGAAAGCCAAGAAGATAAGAGGTGAGTACTGACTAGAGATGAGACTGCCAAGGGCGCAGAAACATGAGAAGAGCGCCATATCAATTCATGGGACACAACACTACAAGAGACTCAAAATACATCAAGCCAAAAAGTGAAGTGTAAGAGAAGTACCAATCAACCACTTTGAATAGGAAGTGGGAACAAAAAGGACCTAGATAGTAAGTACATAACGCCCAGCTTGGTAAGAATATTCTAAGCAGCAAACAACTCGAATAGGTAATTTCCATGAATTTTGCGGCAAAGACAATAGGTAATCTCCATTCAAGTATAACATAAAAGCAGAAACAGAAAACTCAATAAATCGTGCTCCTGACAGGATAATGTGGGGACTAGAAGAGAAGCATTTGCACATGAGCAACTGTAGCATAAGAATCACATTCCAAAGAAGAGCCGTGCTTTACCCATTAATAACTGGAATGCCATGAGATGACAAAAGGTGTTTCAAGAAAGAACGAGAATAAAGAGAGGAGAAGATTACACTTAGCTAGAACTATTGTATAGAGCTCTTCTACCTCAAACAAAAGAAGTACCTGAAGATATGGGCAAGACAAATATACGGTTGCCATAAAACAGAAACAGTGTCAATTCTCTACCACAAATATATTGGGAATCAAGCCTATTATCTATCATATTTCCTAACTTATTTAAATATTCTGGACAACCTTTGTATAGATGGAAGATAACAGAGAAAGTACAAGAAGTTTAGCACTCTAGAAGGCCCTATGGGGGAGGGTATGGCACGGTGACGAGTAAGGTGCCTATTTGTCAATTTTGTTCTTAAAACTCAAAGAGTCAAGATAATCTTCTACATGGAAAATGCTGAGACGAGACATTCTCATATGCATTTATTAATCTTGCGCAACCTGAAGACATTTGTTCCCGTTGAGGTTCTCCAACAGAACTCAGTCTGAGTTCTGCAAGATATTAAATAAATGTCGGCACCATACAGAAGGGCCAATCACACGGGAGATCATATACAAGAGGCAAAGAAGCTGAGTGAGTATAGATGCATACCAAAATGAAGGAGCTACAAGAGGAATACCAACAAAGAATGACCATTTTTTGCATATACGGCTCCATTCAATGCACTAGTTCGTTTCGTTCTCTCAGATGAGAAATGCATTTCACACTTACGATTATTTCGCCCTCTTTCAAGACAATCTGGAATGAAATTCCATGCAATGTTTTGCCTAATCAGTTAGCAATAAATTCGAGAGAGGGATTGCTCCTAAGCACTCTTTAAGAATTTCTATATCGTCCCTAGATATCAGACCATAGATGTGAAGTGCATAATTATACCTGATGATTACACGAGACTTTTGCATCGGACATGGCTAATACAGGAAATATCATCCGAGTACAAATGCAGGTCCAAGACGCACATAAAGAAACATATCTCAATGGATCATGTAACAGGAAGCTAAATGCAGAATAACCCGAGAAACCATTCCGGGATAAAAGCGAGAATATTCCTCCGCAATATTCTGGAAGCCGAACCGCTAGCATCCACTATCAGATGAAAAAAAAAAAAAAGAAGGAAAAAAGTGCACTCCTTTTCCATAGACAAAAAGAAAAAACCGCATCGAAACATCAAAAGAAGCGGAGAAAAAGCGGAGACGGTAACAAGGAAAATGAAAGATTAAGATGAATCGGCCTGTCCAAGTGCCCACGTTCTTTTCCTTAACTTTCACACACACCTACCGAGCAGAGGCCCCCCACTTTAATGACCAGGGCCTGCGACTCATCCAGCTACTCCGTCGGCTCAAGCATTAAATTCACATATCCAAACTCTTATCTTGCTCAACAGGACGTAACCAAAGATTTTCACGGAAGAATGATCCACACAGATCTACTTCTGAACCGAAACTAGATCAGGTCGGCGGTAGCCACTACGTCGCCAAACATCGAACTCCTATCCGGAATCTAACTCTTTGAGCTAACGCCGATTGAAGTTAACCAGAACCGAACGAAAAAACAAGTACCAGAGAGAGAGAGAGAGAGAGAGAGAGAGAGAGAGAGAGAGAGAGAGAGAGAGAGAGAGAGAGAGAGAGAGAGAGCAATAGGAAGAGATCGCGAAGCTCGAGATCTGAAGCAACCGGCGCCGCCGACGCGGGAACAGAACCTTCGCCTCGGCCTCCGATTCAGTTGATGCAAGGCGGGATCCAATTCGGCCCCTAGCCGTCGAAGCTCCCGCGACCGGGAGCGAATCGGATCAGGGAGTGGGAATCGACGGCGGGCGGAACCAGGTCCCGACCTGCACCAAGCGAATTAGAGACCGCCGGCAAGAAAGAGGAAAAACCGACGGACGACCGGGAGGCCGCCATTGACGACGGCCTTCGAAGCTTCTTCCCCTCCTCCTCTTATCTTCCTCCCTCCCTCTTCCAATCTGAAGCTGCCCGTGCGGAGCGAGCATGCACGAGCTCGAACCAGTTGGATTCGAAAAATCTAGCGACTCAGATGTAGAGAGAGAGAGAGAGAGATTCAGCATTAACCCTATGAGGACGGTGACGACGATGGAGGGAGGGGGGGGGGTTTGTTAAGTTAGGCTCGGGGGTTATTTATAGGAACAACAGACCAATCGGGAGGCGACACGTGGAGGCCGACCCGACCGGGACTCTCGGGAAAGTTGGGGGAGAAGTTCGCAAGCGCAACCGTCACCAAGAAAGAGGAGGCCTAATAAAAGAAAAGCCACGACCCGGTTGGTCGGTTTAGTTTGGTAACGGGACGCCACGAAAAATCTACTTATAAAAAGAAGAGAATTTTCGGATTTTTTGAGCCAATATATCACCGGAGGGTCGGCGGCGGCCTGTGTCCCGTTTGGTCGCATGGGCGGAGCGAGCCGCCGCCGCCGCCGCTCCATTGTCGATGCAGGCACGAATGTCATAAAATTGATGGATTTTACTCGTGGCAGACGATGTAAAAGACCGATTTTATTGAAATCTTCTAACGCCATGATTTCTTAAGATGTTGTCATGCTCGACTCATGTGATAGTGATGGTGACGGTGATGGAATAGGAGCAAGAGTGCTTCCTTATGGAAGAAGGACCCTGGATTAGAAGAGATCGAATTCCTGTCAAGCTGATATATCTCTAGAGGGGCAGTAGCTTGTGTCTCGTTTACTCGCGGGCTCCACCACTCCATTGTCGACGGAAGTATGAATGTCGTAAAATTGACGGATTTTACTTGTAGTAGACAATGTAAAAGACCGATTTTATTGAAATCTTCATATGCTCTTAAAAGCATAGATTTTTAATATGTTGTCATGCTCAACTCACGTTATGGTGATGGAGTAGGAGGAGAGTGCTTCCTTATGGAAGAAGGATTTTGGATTTGATGGAATTCACGAGACTGCCACGGGGGCTTGTTCTGACAGAGTGGAAGCTATAGTAAGCTCATATGCTCGTGAAACGGAACTGGCCATGAAATTTAACAGGTTGATCTGTACGGATTCGCTTTAACAGGTTGACAGCCGGAATTTAACTTATAATTTTTAGATTCGTCCGACATTTATTTTTTTTCCCACTCATACAATTTATCCCGTAATAAGCCTATATTAATAGGTCGTGTTATGTCTGCCATGAAATTAAGAGTGACATTGTATTTTCATTCTTATCTTTATATAAAAGAAGATTGAGTAATCTAATAAAAACTTTTGCGGGCAAATATTTACTCTTTTAATATTTATTTTAGTTGTAGGGTTAGCTCATGAATTCTCGAAATAAATGAATTGGTCCCTCGTTCGTTCCGACTTCCCACCTAATGAATTATTACAATTCATTTTTCAATAAAATCTTACATATTCACAAGTTCCGTCATTTTCATCGCTTCGCAATTAATTGTTAGGTTTGAATTCTACAATGGAGCCCCCCGTGAAATTTGTTCCTGAGTCAATCTTCTCAGTCTTTATTGGCTCGAGCTAGGCTCTTGAATTTTTTTCTACGAATAGATTCATATAGTTATGGATATATTTATATTGATGTTTTATAACACTGCCTTTACGAGATGACTCATAAACCTTACATATATATATATATATATTAATATTGATGTTTTATAACACTGCCTTTTATGAGATGACTCATAAACCTTACATATATTGTTATCATTTATCATTGATATTCTTTTTCTTTCCTTTTATGAGATGACTCATAAACCTTACATATAATGGAATCCTTTATCATTGATATTCTTTTTCTTTCTTTCTCTTATCCTTCCCTTTATCTGCATACTTTTTTTATGTCATAACTAGATTGATTTTTTTTTGTTTATGCAAGAAAGATTTCAGTTGCTACAATGATATCACCAATATATCATATCTTGACCGCTTTTTTTTTGTCTAGATAATGTGAAAAGATGAGTTGTTTATTAGTTTTATAGCTATTAGTTGATAGATGGGGTCTGTCCATTCTTTTGGAATTCTATCCTAGCAAAAAAAAAAAACCAACAGTTACACACTAGGCATAGTAATTATTTGAAATCATCAATCAAACTTTTATTCGACCCTATAGAATTGCTTTTTTTTTTTACTTAAGAGAAAAATCATGAAATGAAAAAGTTTCTTTATTCTATTTTTTTTTATCGATGGATATAGTATAAAGAGTAAAGATAAGGAAAGTATTCTTATTCCTCAAATATCCAAATTTGGAGGCCTGATATTCCATAGACCATTGGGACTCCATAGGAACATTAGTCATTTTTAGCTACAATGGTTTGTAGAGGAACCTTACCTTCTCTGATCCATTCGACACATGCAATTTGTTTTTCGTCAAAGCGACCTGCAATTTGTACTTGAATTTCTTCTGTATGTACTTGTTCAATAGTTCAATAGCCTTCCCTATCGCTTTGCGAAATGAAACTCTATTCTTTATCGTCCGGCTATAAATTTTGCAAAAATAGGGTGCCCATAACGGATTGTAATTCTTGTAATAGCAATGTTGAGTTTTCGGTTCACACGATTAAGTTCTTTTTGTACATTTATATGTAATATTTCGATTCTTCGCGTCTTGCCTTCTAGTAATAACTTTGGAAATCTCATATAGATTATGACTTGAATTAACTCAATTCTTTTTCAAATTTCTATGCATGAAATTCCCTCCACACAAGAGTATATTCTCATTTTTTTTATATAAATATCGACACAATTTCGGGTTTTTTCATCTTCTTGTAGATCTTCGGAATAATTTTTGGGTTGTACAAACCAAATAGAATGACAACCTTGGATTGTACCAAATCTGAAACCCAGCGGATATATTTTTTGTCCCGTAATAAATGCGATGTTTCTTAACCCCTCAAATCTTCATAAACATATGTCGAATTTTAGTTGGAAGATAAGTTAAAAAAAAAAGGAAAATACCATTAAAATTCCCAAACTATGCCCATTGTGATACATTTATCTCAAACTTTTTTTTGTAACACCAAAAACCCCAAATTATAAGTATTGTGACACATTTACCCTTCCGTCAGGGTTATGTTAAAAATCTCCGTTAAAACTCTGACATAGCGCTTACGTGGCGCCACATCAGAAAAAAATTTTAAAAAAATAAAAAAAAAATCACTGTTCATCGCGAGTTACTGTTCATTATCTTCTCGCTCGACCAGAGCTCTTCCGAAGCTCGTTCATCGCTGTCCACTACCGCCTGGACCTCTGGGAGCTTTGTCATAGCTGCCGACAATGGCGGTTGTGAGCTCGAAGCTTGGCCATGGCCGCTCCACTCGAGCTTGAAGCTTGGCCGAAGTGGATCTTCGCCTTTCGAGAGCTTCGTCGCCGCAAGCTCGAAGCTTGGCCATGGCCGCTCCGCTCGCTTGGCCGAAGTGGATCTTCGCCTCTAGGAACTTCGTTGCCGCAAGCTCAAAGCTTGGCCATGGCGGCCGCTTGAGCTTGAAGCTTGGCCAAAGTGGATCTTCGCCTTCCAAGAGCTTCGTCACCGCGACCTCGAAGCTTGGCCATGGCGGCCGCTCGAGCTCGAAGCTTGGCCGAAGTGGATCTTCACTTTTTGGGAGTTTTGTCACTGCGAGCTCGAAGCTTGGCCATGGCCGCTCTGCTCGAGCTCGAAGCTTGGCTGAAGTGGATCTTCGCCTTCCGGGAGCTTCGTCGTTGTGAGAGCGGCCATGGCCAAGCTTCGAGCTCACGGCCGCCATGGTCGGTAGCTACGACGAAGCTCCCGGAGGTCTAGGCGGCAGTGGACAGTGACGGACGAGCTCCGAAAGAGCTCCAGCCAAGTTAGAAGACGATGAACAGTAACTTTGAAGGCGATGAACAGTAACTCACAATGAACAGTGACTTTTTTGAATTTTTTTTTTCCTAATGTGGCGCCATATCAGCACCACGTTAGAGTTTTACCGAAGATTTTTAATAAAATCTTAACGGAAGGTAAATGTGTTACAATGAGCATAGTTTAGGGTTTTTGGTATCACAAAAAAAAGTTTTGGGTAAATTTGTTACAATGAGTATAAATTGAGGTTTTTGGTAGTCTTTTCTCTAAAAAAAAATTAATTTCAACTTTCTTTATTTTTTTATTATTATATTTTTATGGGGAAATTATTAAAGAGTTTTCAATTTGATGGAACCTTGTTTGATTGAAAAGACGACTTGATGGTTGAGATTTCGAATAAAAGGCAAATCTTTTGGAATGCTAAATCGGCTTTAAGCCTGCCTTTGTCTCATGGTGGCTTTTCAAGTTCTCCTTTTTGTTCCCTCAAATTCTGGATGTTTGGCCAAAATGTAACCTCCTCGAAGAAATGAAATTTCGCTCCTGCCTCTAACCTGTTTCCATATTATGGAGAGGGTTTTACGGATACATTTATTATTTTAATATGTCGGTATCCGTATGCCTCGCATTCTAATTTCTTCCAAATCTTTGTCTTCCCGAGATGAGATACTACCCTCTAATTGCTTTACATAGTGATGATTTTAAGGTTTGGATGAAGTTCGGGATGAAGTAATTTAAGTACTTGCTTAAGTCCGTGCCTTTGTCTTATGGTGGCTCGAGCATCTTTCAAGTTCTCCTTTTTGTCTGTAATCTGGATAAATTCATTTTCCTATGGTCAAAAGAGTGTCTCTGGTTAAGTTAGCCAATTTGTTTGGGGAATTGAAAAAGAAAAAGAGGGTTTAGTTTAATTGACCAGGTCTCTAATTCTATATTTGAAATTATGTACGCGAAAGAAAAAACACAATGTTAAGAAAATAAGGAATGCATTCGTTGACTCTTCTTAACAAGAGACGGAACAGGGCACAAGCCACCATGTGTGAGCTTAAAGTTTTGTCTATTTCACAAAAAATGAATGATTTTAAAACGACTGTTTATATCGCTTGAAATAATCAGTTAATGGAAATTATAATTTATGTCTAAATATTTTAATGGACGATGAAATTTTTTTTATTTGTTTATTTTTATAAGCGATACAAGCGATTATTTTTAAGAAAATATTTTTCAAATCATTCATTTTTCATGAAATAAATGCAACTTAAGAATGTCACAAGCGCATCAAGACTACAGCCCAACTCCTAAGAAATTTAATTTTAGCGTATCTTTTGCCCCAATTACATAACTAGACCACCTTTGACTTGGAATAAAGCGTCCTCAATGATATGTGATAGAGAGACAGAGCATTTCAACATATTAAGCTTTTTAGATGCCTTTGGAAAATTCGTGATGCTATTTTTAGGCATATGCAGCCTTTCTAGGGATCACTCT